CCACTGGACCACCAGGGAAATCCTGGACTTTCTTCTTAGTAGTATCGTATTTTGTCTCCCCCCTCCCATCAAGAAGTAATGGATGAGTTATAAACATCTTAGGACCAACCAATGTTTGTGCTTTTGTTTTTTTAATTTATTTTTTGACCACATTAAGCAGCCTGTGGGATCTTAGTGCTCTGACCAGGTATCCAACCTGAGTCCAGTCCCCTGCATTGGAAGCAAGGAGTCTTAACCACTGGACCACCAGGGAAGTCCCCAGGGCCAATTTTTAAACTATTCATTTGGAATTCTCTTCCAGAGCTCTATGAAGCTCTGCTCAGGTCTCTTTGTTCTCCTAATGCAATATTTAAAGTTTGTATCTGTCACAGTGAGATAAACTAGAAGTCTCTGTGTACAGGCTTCTATCTTGGGGACTTTTGAGATGTTGTAACATAGTCTGTGCCTCTGTTTTGAACATTCAAGGCTGAGAATCTCCAGTTACTTCTCAGAAAGAGCTGACTCCCCGGCTCCACCTTAAATTTGGCTTTGCCTTCAAGGTCTCACCCTATCACTCCAGCTTTCCGCTCATACCTTGGCACTGATAGAATTAATATCCTTTCTATTCATCCTGAGAGATTCCCTCACAGCTCTACCAAGGCAGATCAATTGCCTATATTACTTTTATTATTTAAATTCTAAATTCCTTCTTAGGAGAGTCTGCCTTCTGTCAAGAGCAATGGGCTTGTGGATATGCAAAACCTCCCAACATAATCCAGTGTTCCAGGGGATGAGGGCTTGTGTACCACAATCTGAGATTTGTTGTTGTTCAGTTGCTGAGCTGTGTCTGACTCTTTAGTACCCCATGGACTGTAGCATGCCAGGCTCCTCTGTCCTCCACTATCTGCTGAAATTTGCTCATATTCATGTCCACTGAGTCAGTGATGCTATCTAACCATCCCATCCTCTGTTGCCCCATTCTACTTTTTGCCTTAAATCTTTCCAAGCCTCAGGGTCTTTTCCAGTGAGTTGGCTGTTTGCATCAGGTGGCCAAATGATGGGAGCTTCAGCTTCAGCTTCAGCATCAGTCCTTCCAATGAATATTCAGGGTTGATTTCCTTTAGAATTGGCTGGTTTGATCTTGCAGTCCAGGGAATTCTCGAGTTTTCTCCAGCACCACAAATCAAAAGCACCAGTTCTTCGACACTCAGCCTTTCTTATGGTCCAACTCTCACATCTGTACATGACAATCTGAGAACTGCCACTCAAGAGCAGGGCTTGGCAGGACTCACTGGCTTGTTAAATAAAGTTTTATTGAAACAAAGCCTGTCCATTCATGTATGTGTTACCTATGGCTGCTTACAAGCTACAAATGTGTAGCTGAGTAGTCTCAAGACTGTATGGCCCACAAAGACTAAAATATTTACTCTCTGGCCTCTGCCGAGAAAGTCTGCTGACCCCCAGGGAGGAAGGAAGACCACAGGTGGCAGATGGAAGCCTGAGGACTGGATGATTTTCAAAGAAAGGAGCTGAGACTTTCTGCTATGTCTTCACAATTTGCAGCTGAAGCCTGATGATGAGTTGTGTATGATAAAGGAGATCACGCAAATGATATTTTGCCTCCAAAGCAAATGTAATCCAGGGTGGAGTAACTGCAGGCTGTTAAATCAGGACGCTCTCATGTCTGGAAGGGATGAGAACTCTCTTCCAGCCCTGTGCAGCCCACAGGTCTCTCTGCGTGCGTTCGTCCCCTCTGAAGCTATGAGCACACTCTCTGTGCACGGCCTTCCCGGAAACAGTGTTTGATCTGTCATGATGCCCTGGGAGGCGAGAATCTGGAAAGAGCCAGAATCTGGAAACAGCCCTTCGCATTTCCACTGCAGACGGCTTCCTTCTTAGAGCTTTCGAGGGTCAAGTCATAAGCACCCTGTGCCCCTGTCTGTGTTCTTCTTAATGACAGAGATGCACAGGACCTGGAGCGAAATAAGACACAGTGTCTTAGGGTCGCTGAGCTCTGCGGAGGGTCCCAGATACTTCCAATGTCAGGGGAGGGAGGCCTTCTCATGCATCAAAGTTGATGCCGTGTTAGGTTTGGGAATATTGCCTGAGTCCCCATTTGATTTAATTAAACTAAGTCTGCTGGTGAATTGGTTCCCAAAGGCTAAATGAGTGGATGGGCAGCATTGAAATCATCTGGATATTGCTTTTAAAAATACCCCATCCCCCACCCAAGCCCACCCCACAATAACAGTGATGCACAGCAAGTGAATGCTGACGAGCAGAATCTGGTGTTTTTGTCCCAATGTTTCAATGGATTCAGGAGGTGCCAGTTCTTTCTCTGTAGGCTCTGTACCCTAAATCCCCAAAGCTGCTGCTTAACGCACTCCTGGAGGTGCTGCTTGGTGGTGACCGAGATGAGTGGTCAGGTTCTCATCAGGATTCAGGATTCTGACTTTCTCACCTCACAAGCCCTGCTTCTCTGTTTCCCATGAAGGGCTTGATTTTCTCCTGAAGAGCAGTGTTTTTCACACCGTAGGTTGCAATATACTCGTGGTTTATAAAGTCCTTTAAAGAGGGTGCAACCAGCTTTTTAAAAAAAAGAGGACTGGGAAAAAAACCAGAGTGCATCATAGGTGTTAAGGATAAGTGTTGTTCTGTGATAATTGCTTTAGTAGGTGTGTTGTATATCCAGTTGCCACATGTTTCTTTTTTTCTGCTATTATACTTATTTAGGTTGCACTGGGTCTTCACTGCAGTGAGCAGGCACTCTCTAGTTTTGATATGAGGGCTTCTCTTGCCGCGGGAGCATGGATTCTAGACTCCTAGGGTTCAGTAGTTGCTTTACGGGCTTAGTTGCCCCGTGGCATGTGGGATCTCAGTTCCCAAACCTTGGATCAAACTCGCGTCTTCTGCATTGGAAGGTGGTGGATTCTTAATCACTGGGCCACCAGGGAGGTCCCTACCATGGGTCATGGCAAAAAAATGTTCGGAAATCTCCCTTGCACAGCCGTGACCCTAACTTACTTAGGGCAGCTCTGGTCTCCGCGAGTAGAGGTCTCATGGAAGAAGTCACCAGCGCGGGTAGACTGTCATATACAAGAATTTCTGGGAGGCTACCTGGAAACTAACAGAAAGCCAATTTGTGGACAATTGCATAGCCTGGGGAGATAAGTCCACCACAGGAAGTTTTACGGATGGCAGACGACTCAGCCCGCCACACCTGTCACCTGGCGACAGCTGGGTTTACCTAGAGCCCAGTCTGGCCAAATTTCAGTTTCCATTTCCTTGAAATGGGGATAACCACCCTATTGATTACTACTGTTGTGGGAAAGACCAAATGAGGGGGGGAAAGACTCTTTCCTGTCAAGGATAAACCTCAAAGCTCAGACCCAGCCATGGCTTTTCACGATGTCTAATGGGTGTGCTTTTGTTGGCATTAAGAGGGGAAGAGGAAGGCTCTTAGAGATGAAGTCTAGGCCCTGTGGGAGTCAGCGAGGGTGTAAACGGGAGCACAGACCAGGGAAACCTTGCAACAAAGGGCCTGGCCTTCGCTGGCTTCTTGGCAGGAAGCCACCGGGTCTGATCTCACACTGATCTTAGTCACAAGAAGAGGGTGGCCAGACAGCCCAGATAATGCAGGGGCCCGCTAGCAGAGTGCCTACAGAGTGCAGCCCTCAAGTGGCGGGGAATGTCTTTTGCCAGCTCCGGAGGGCTTAGGGTGGGAGTGGAGGTGGGCACAAGGATGGTAGCCTGTCCCTGCGGCCGCTCATTTCAGAACAGCCCTGCCACCCTCTCCTCAGTGGGAACAAAGAGGAAGGAGGGGAACTCGGAGGATGGGAGAAAAGAGTTTTCAAGAACATCACTAAAAGGTCTGGAGTGAAGGACTCTTGTGGACCAAAAGCCCCCGCCCTCTATTCCGAAGGGCCACTTATAACAAAGTCCCTTAAATGGTAACTAGAGGTCCTAACTCTTTCCTCCATTTTCATTTTTAAAACTCTCACAATTACTAGGGCTTTTCTGATGGCTCAGATGGTAAAGAATCCACCTGCAATGCGGGAAACCCTGATTTGATCCCTGGGTCAGGAAGATCCCTTGGAGAAGGGAATAGCTTAACCACTCCAGTATTCTTGCCTGGAGAATCCCATGAACAGAGGAGCCTGGTGGGCTACGGGCCATGGTGTTGCAAACAGTGACTAAGTGACTAACACACCCAATTATTAAGGGATGAAATAAATGACTAAGAAAGCAAAAGTGGAATTTAAAAAAAACAGCAAAGGCCTGTTTAAAGTTTCATGGTGAGCCTCTTTTATCCTGCAGGTGATCTGGGCATATGTGATCTCTTTAGGCAAAATTAGAAGTCCCAATCAGGGGCCAGGTCCAAATATCCCCTCTGCAAATTGTCAAATGTGTGGAAAACCCAAAGTCCTTAAGAAACTTCCTTTCAGGTGTAGACTTTGAGGGCGGGTAAATCTAGCCCTGGTTCCAGGGCCACAGATTGCCTGACCTTCCCCTGTTATATAATTAAGTCCCCCACCCTACCCATCCCCCTCCGGAGCTATCTTGACCCCTTGACTTCGGTTTTCTCACTGGAAGCCGCACGGGGAGATAAGGTTGAACAAAGACATTTATTTGTAAAAGCAATTCCCAATGGAGCAGAGACTGTATCCATAGAAAGTAAAGCAGTGATCATGGGGGCCCACATGCAGACATCAGTGAAACCCGGGGCGAATCCAGACAGACAGTACTGCTGCAGACGCCGGAAAGCTCCCCATCCTGCCAACTGCAAAGCAAAATGTCCTTTCCACTCAAGAACACGGATGAACCGAGATGTCCTGTGAGAAAGCAATTTGGTCTGACGTCCACGATGAAGTGATCAGGGAACAGCTGAGGGAGCCTTTGTTTTGTTTTTTTTTTTTCCTCTTCTGGGTGACTTGCCGGCTTCCCACAGATACCCGGCTAAGAGCTGAAGTGGTCCTCCACCCTCCCGCGGGAGGGGGCGTTGTCAAACCCCCAGGGCCGGCTCACATGCCCATTCTGATGCTCTGAATGATCTGGAAGATAGCTGGACGAGGAAAACAAAACAGTCTGCTCAGACCCCGACAGCACACAGCTGGAAACCCAACCCCACCACCAGCCCCGCTTCTGCTGACCCGGGGCCCCGGGCCTGTTAGCACACAGCTGATTAGAGATTTCCTAACAAGGAGTTAAGTTAACAAGAGGTCAGTGAACTTCTTTAAAAAGGCAGTCTTGCTCTGTCTGCTGATGGATGCCGCGGGGATTTATGGATAACTCCTGCTAATTCCACCGAGAGTGGAGGCCAGCAAGCCCTCAGATGCTGAGAGATTTGGCCTCCGTCCCCAGAAGGTTCTGATGCTGCTGGGGAGTGGGGAGCAGGGCTTGAGTGCGGGCGGGGCGCTCATTTAACAGGTCATCGACGCTGCCTCTTCCCAACGGCTGTGACCTGGAAAAGAAGCTGCCCTTGAACTGGAAGGAAGGCCAGGTGCTGGGAGCAGACACGCGGAGCTGGGCCCCCCTGGCTGTGGATAACCTTTGATACAAGTGCATCTTCAGGCGGCCTGGAATTTTCTGAAATTCAACTTGAAATACACCAAGAGCTGCACTGATTTATTCAGGGTGCTGTCCTCACTAAGTGAACTAACACCTTCCTGATAAACTGAAGGGGTGGGTAGCCTGAATGTCCAACAAACAATTGCTGGGGCCCATCCCCTCCTTATTTGGGTTAGAGCTGATTGGATAGTTCCCAGTCTGGTTTGGTCTAAAGGGTTTAAATGTGTCCCAGGAGAGGAAGGTCCAACTTCTTTTTCACACCTTCCCCAGGTGTAAAATATACAATATGGGTCCATCGTGATGAAGACAATCATGATGATAACAGCAATGAACATGTACGGAATGATTTTTTTTTTTTGAGGAGCATCTGGGTACCATGTAATCATCTGTAAACACAGAACAAGCAGAAGTCATTTCAGGGGTTTATCCCCTCTCCCCTTCATAAAGTCTTCCTGGAATAGACCCAGGAATGCTGTATCCTAAGTAACGAGAGTGAAAGGGGCTACTCGGAACCTTCAAAAAACAAATGGCTTGAGATTTTATCATCTAACATTAGTGAGCATATACCATGGGCCGGGCACTGTGTTTGAGGACCCAAAGATAATTCACAGGGGCTTTTTCTTGGACAGCTAGATTTGAAGGGTAGATTAAGCACAAATGAAGTTGGGTGTCGGTTTTTTTTTATGATTTTTTTTTTTGATGTGGACTATTTTTAAAGTTTTATTGAATCTGTTGAAGTATTGTTTCTGTTTTCTGTTTTGGATTTTTGGCCACGAGGCACATGGGATCTTTGCTGCCCGAATAGGGATCGAACCCACAGCCCCTGCAATGGAAGGCATAGTCTTAACCACTGGACTGCCAGGGAAGTCCCTGTAGTTGGTTTTTTATAAACTAAAAAAAAAAAAATCACTGTGTACATCCTCATGACTTTCCTAAATTGGATATACATCCAATGTGATTTAATATTAGGTTTTCATGAATGTTCAGTGTGACCATAATAAGAAGTGATAACTGATAAGGCTCTGCTGTAATGTTGTTACAGCGGATGCACAGTGTTTGATCTGATCCCCAAATACCTCCAGTCAACCACACATCTTGGGCTCTCCTTTATGCTTCTTGTGGTTATTTGGGCTCAAGGGTTCTTGTGTCTGATCACATCTCTGGTGTTACTACACCAGTCTGCAGTGGGCCCTCTTCTATTATTATGAGCTGCAGACTAAGTCAAAAACAAAGACTGGTAGAACTATGTGTAAAACTAGAGTCAACTGGTTGTATGTGAAGGCTGGACTCTTTTCTAGATAAAGGAGTTAATTCAACAAGTCGTGATATTTAACCCTGGCTGTGCTCAGAGGTTTTCTTGGCTTATTCTGATTTTGGGGTGATTTTTGACAGGAGAAGTTGCTAGATGGATGAGGAAGTACTCACCCAAATGTATAAGCTTGCTGGAATATGGACATTTCCATCTTCCTCTAGCAAAGCTAACGAGGAATAAATATTAAATAAACATTCTGTGTTCTGGCTTCACATAGGAGTCCTAGCAGGCAGCTTTTTATTCAAGTACATTAGGAAAAAAATATTTACATCCACCATGCCTCAGGCTTTGTTCTTAGGATCAGGAAAATATCTCTAATTTGGACAAATGGGCTTAACTTTAGAAGAGAGTGTTAGGGTCAGAGGGAACTGGGTTTGACTCTCCACTCTTCACTGACCAGTGGTGTGACTGTATGAATAATTTAACCTCTTCACACCTGTCTCCTCTGCTGTGAAATGAGGACCATGTTGCTTGCTGTGTTAATACAGGGATTAAACATATGATATAGATGAGGCTCCTCACATATCAAGGTTTTGGTGCATGGGAGCTATTGGTATTACTAGTTACTATTACTACAATGATGGTTGCGGCTTCTCCAGGTATGCCCATGAAGACCAGAACTCAAGGGCTATTTACCACCTGTCAGAGTATGAATTTTTGGAATTCACTAAATAGTTCTGAGTCCTGATTTCTCTGAGTTATAAAACTGTAGATAATATGTACTCCAAAGAATTGCAAGGAATGAATATGATGACATAAATAAAAGATGCTCACAATAGATGCTCCAAAATACTGTTTCTCTGTGATATTTATTCTTAGACAACAAATCATTTTCAGCAGTGTGTAGGCCAATGACTAGGAAACAGTGTGTGTCTTAGTCCATCAGATCCCATTTAAGTTATTCCATGATTTCGAAAGTGCTGGGTAATGATAAAACCACTCAATTCTAAGGAACTGCTGCAAATTTCTCTCAAGAATCTTAGACAAAGTTTGCTTACCTCAGAGTAGCAACACTTATATTAAAAACGTACCTATCTCTGTGTCTGCTTGACCCTTACTGAATCCATGAATTAACATGTAAAATCTGATGGTCTTTAATATGTTTACAGGTGACCCTTTAAAATCGAGTCCTCTTGGAGAAATTACTTTGAATAAAGTCTACTTTAAGTTCACCATTTGCCTCCACTGCTAAGATAATGGAGAGATGGTTGTATTTTATGATTTTTTTTTTCAGTTGCATCAAGGTCTTTAAAAAGGCTTTACCATCTTATACCAATTATATTAACTGTACTTTTGTGTGCACGCCAGTAATGACCTGCCAAGCAATCCAGGCCTCCCTAGTGCTGACTTTCCGAGGCAGTGAATGGGAAGGGAGCCAAGAGTGGGTTCAAAGTGGGAAAGGAAGTGGGGAGTCTAGACCCTGACAAGTTAATAACTTAACAGTGGGTGAAGAAAGCAGACAAAACAACTGAGTGGGCTGCAGGAAAGGAGCTGTGGGCAAGTCAGCAGGAGGAGAATGCCAAGAAATGGAGGGGTGGCGGGCATTCGAGGTCAGGGTATCTGGCCTTGGGAAGGTCACAGAGGTTCGGAAAAATCCAGGCTAGAGTGGGAACTCCAGAATCCGAGCGCCTCTGCGCTCTCCCATCTGTTTAGGATCTTGGTTCTTGTTAACCTCGGTTGGCTCCATCTCTTTTATTCAACTGTTCCCTTTCAATGAAGTCCTTAGGGTTTAACATGTGAGAAGCACTTGCAACTCAAAAATCAAACAAACCAGGACAGTCTTCTTGACTCCACATCTCCCATCCACAGATACCCTCCTCTTTACAACCATTTCCAAAAAGCTGTCTATAGTCCTCACTTTATCCATTTCCTTACCTTTAATTTCTCATTCCACCGCACTCTAGCTTCTGCTCTCTTCCACTCCACTGAAATAGCTCTTGCTAAAACCACAAATGACCCTCCAAGTCGCCTAATCCACAAGCATCCTTCAGCCGCCTCTTGCCGTATACGCCTCTTCACTGTCACTGAATGCTCCCTCCTGCAAACTCTCCCTTGGCTTCTGTGACACACGACTCTCCTGGTTTCCAGTCTTCTTCCTTCTCTCCACTCTTTACACTAAACCAGGTGTATGGGGGTCATCCTGACTCTTCCTGACCAGTCAACAAGAATGCTGAAGTTCCCCAGCATGTATTCTGGCTTTCTTCTCTTCATTACATTCCTTCTCCTGGGTGATCTTATCAATGGTCGCTTAGTTTTCAATGACTCACCAAGATGTGCTGTCAGCCCTGACCTCTCCTAGGAGCTCCAGACCCACACCTTCTACCGTCTAATTGATACCTGCACACAGGTGGCTCAAAGGCTTGTCGAACACAATAGGAATGCCTCATGGTCTCTTCCCACTGCCAAGCTTGGCATCCTCCTCCTCCATCTTGCACATAAACCCAAAACACCAGAGTCATTCTTGGACACGTCCAGTTGATGACCGAGACCTGTGGGCATTACCTAATAATCTTGTGAATCTGTGTCTTTCATTCATCCTTCCAGAAACCGCCATCAGCTTTCCCCTGATTCCTGAGACAATCTCCAGCAGGTCTACTCTTGCTCCGCTTCAATCCTTTCTCCACACTGTAGCTAGAATTATTCCTTAGATAAAAGCAAGTGAGATCATGCCATACTTGAGTTCCTAGCATACCAGAGGCTTTGTATTGCCCAATAAGTGAGATCACACCATCCTTGAGTTCCTAGCGTACCAGAAGCCCTCTATTGCCCAATCCTTTGCAAAGACCAGCATTTCCTGGCCCCGGGCATCTTGTCCATACTCACCTTCTCCATTCTCTTCCTCCTGTATGGCACATCTTCCTGTTTTCAGGAGCTCCCTGATCTCACGATCGGACTTCTACACATGCCATTCTTTCCGTCTGAAAGACTTTCCCCATCCTACCCTAATTGCCTAGTTTTTCTTCGTAATTCAGAAGTTATTTCTTCAGAGAAGCTGACTTTGACCATCTGGAGCAAGAGTTCTCTAACTTGTGTATCACAGTGTCCTGAACGTGTCTGAAGACAGGAGCTGAACCCTGTTCCTAGAGTTTCTAATCCAGTGGGTCTGTGGTGGGAACTGAGAATGTATATCTCTAAAAAGATCCTAGGTTATGCTGAGACTGGTGGTCCAGGGACCATGCTTG